TAATCAAATATTGAACCTAATTTAGGTTCAATTCTGGTTATTCGAATCTAAAATTTGGATCAAGTGAAGCGGGAGCCGGACATTTCCGAAAATTCGTAGTGTATGACTTGAAGGCTTTCGCCTCGCTCCCTCAGCTCCAGCCAATAATATATAAATTTTATTAGCCAATAAAATTAATTTTGGGTTAATTATATAAAATTAACCAATTAAAATAATAAAATTATATTATACAACAAACAAAATTTGGCATCTACCATTTGCCACTGTATACAGTATCTCCCCAAAATAATACCCTTCTTGATTAAGACCAGGGTATTGTTCATTACCATCCTGGCTTGATTCTTGAATAGTACCCGGGTTAACTATATAAATTTATTACTATTTATATAATATATCCCCAAATACAGTACCTGGTTTCTCACACAGTGCCCACGGGTACTACTCAATTTAAAAATGAATAAGACCCGTGTACTGTATGCAGTGGCAAACGGTATATATAATTTTAGGTGTTTTCTACTATATTATTTTAACTTTAAAAAAAAGTAATTCTAACTATATAGTAGTAATCATTACCAGAATGTTATATCTCAAAAATCTACTAGTTAACTTATATTAGAGATACTTAGCAAAAATATTTAGAGCCTTCAAAAATCTAACTCTAATTTAAAACCTTTATATTTGCTCTTTGTTTTATTTTAAAAATGCACTCTAACCCTAAAAATAAAGATAGTGATAATCACCACTGGCTATTTTAATTATAATTCTTTAAAAAAAATAATTGTCTTTAAAAATTCTTTATACATTATAAATCACAGATAACAATTACCTGTGATGGATAGTAGTTATTTTTTTTAAAAAAAACCTATCTTAATTTGGTTATGTGTTTATTGAAATATAATAATATAAGTAATAAATCGATTTTTAATTGCATAATAAAACACCAACACAAATCATGAATATTCTAAAATAACTTAATAATTTCTCAAAAAATTTGGACAATTAGATGTAATAAAATTAACATTAAGTAAAATGTTTATAACATAAAAAAACTTTTCTACTATTTGGTAGTTCGATTATTATTAGACAACACGTTTGGACTTTGAGAATGTTGGCCCTTTGGAAGTACATTCGGTGCTACCACAGATTGCCTTTTGAATCACCTTGAAGATCGGGATCAGCACTTTTAGTATTAAAGCTATTTTGTCTAGTAGTTGGAGGACTACCAGAACTGTTTTGTTTGCTTTGCTGACGAGATTGTTGTGCACGTTTTCCTTCGGGTAAGAACATGTTAACAATTTTATTAAGACCACTTTTTTTTTCTTTATAAACAGCAACTTTTGCCTGGAAAAGGATCTTGCGATTGTTTTCATTATCTAAGTCTATACCAACCAAAGGAAAATAACAGATATCGACGAACCACTGATCTATATTTTCATCCCATGGACCAACCATTTGAATAGGATCTATTTTATCACCTCTTTTAAACCATCTGAAAGTTGCTTCTGGTTCTTGCACCCTTAATCGGAAAAAGAAAATTTTTATAATTTCTCTAATGATAGATGGTAGCAATTTATCAATTTCTTGTTTCTTTTCATCATCATTAAAAGTACGAAAATTGGACATGGTGGTGTCAATTTGTTTCGCAACAAAAGTGATGAATGAATGTTCCTTCTTTTCGTCTTTAACATCGGCAAAACCACGATCACCTAGAACAGCATAGATCTGTTGACGTAGTTTTATCGGAGTAGCTTGAGTTACTTCATCAATACCATCACGATGCTTATCGAATTCGCTTAATAGTTCAGTCATTTTACGAGTTATATGGATTAATTCTAATTCGCGAGCTGCTTCGCCAGAAAGACGAAATTGGTTGGCTAAATATTTATTCATCATGTCCGTAACACTTTCGATCAAGATTCTTTGAAGAAGCCATTTAATAAGTATCTTTTCTTCCGAATCTTCATTTGCAACATGGTCTAGTGAACAGTCGTATTTTAGTAAGGCAGCCTTCGCAGCGTCCAAATTAAGCGTCACACCCTTTTTTACTCTTGCATACAAATTAATTTTATCTTGTAATTGCTCAATGTCCCGTGTAAGAGCAGTACTATTATTAGGATCATCGTCACCTAACTTGAAATTTTTCGCATCACCCAATCTTGATTGATAATGAGCAGCTTCATTTTTTAATTCTTCATTTTTTTTTGTAACTTCATCTAATGATTTAATTACTGTATTATAGCGACTGACTAACTTATTATGTTCATTTGTAAGATTTGAAATGTAAACATCTTTGCTATAATTATCTTGATGAAGTTTATGATTTGCACTTTCAATCTCTTTACTTTTCTTTCTAGTTTCTTCAAGCTCAGCCTCAAGCTTACTTATATTTTCGTAAGCTTGGGCGAGTTTCTTATCATTTTCACCAATTTTTGCCTCTAATGAAGCAATTTTTTTATCATGTTCTGAGATTTCTTGTGTTTCAACATTATCATTTTGATTTTCTGGTTCTGATGGTTGCTGGTTTGTAGTGACATCTTCGTTTTCAGGATTTTGTACATTCGTCGTTTCATTTTGATTATCGATGTCCATTGTTTCAGTATTTGTTTGGGATGTTTGAGCATTATCATTTGCTAAACTGGAGCCTTTATCGTTTGGATCACCCGTTGAGTTAGAGATATTGTCAGGATTGTTTGGATTACTCGTCGAACTAGGGTCAATTGTCGGTTCATTTTCTGAGCCAAGACCATGATTTGCATTATCATTCCCCGAGTTATCCTCATTGGTTGGACCAGAGCCACCTTCTATATTGTCATTTAAACCATTATTATCATTGCTTGTTGTTCCAACCTCATTTTCGTTTTTATTATTTAAACCATTATTATCATTGCTTGCTGTTCCAACCTCACTTTCGTTTTTATTAACCATTTCATAGTCCATGAGGAACTCCGACATGATTTA